TAAGGAGGATATGAATATAAATATGGACATCAGCATGTAAAGCATACCCCAGAAAGTTTAACCAACTGGCCATCTTTTGCAGTTCTTAACTGAGCATCTGGATAATCAGCTATGAAACCAGTAATAGCTCTGCGCCCCCAACAAGTATTCCAGGTAAATACTGTAGCCACAACAGCAAAAAGTATAACAACAACAACGAGAAGAACGGGATTGTGAACAGCCCCAAGGATAAAACCCCCCGCAATAAATCCCATCACAAAAAGTAGAATGATGGACCAAAGAATTAGCTTTGGAAAGCTTTTATGGAAAGAATATTCATCATCCTGGCTAAGGTGAGTAACAGCTGGGTTATTGATTATAGAAGCACTGTATGACTTCATTGATCCAGTCGACTCTAAAGGACCAGATGCCTTTCGAGGAGCCCCTGATGAATTTAAAGGGCCTGAAGTAATAGGTCCAGATGTAATGAGGCCTGTGGTTGGAAGAACGGGAGGAAGAGGGCCAGAATTTTGGCGGGACATGGCAGTTGCTCCTCCACCTTGAGGCCCCGATGACTTTTTCAGTGGCTCTCCATGCTTATTAAGTGGACCGGAATTTGTTTTCTTTAAAGAAGCTGATCCGGAAACACCGCCAGAAGAACCGGAACCTGCCCGATTCACAGAATTTAGTTGGCCCGAGTGAGAAGCAGAGCCACCAAAAGACCCCGTTCTTGAAGGAGCATTGTTGATTGGACCCGATTTTCTTGACTTGGAGCCATCCATTGGGATATCAAACATTTTACCAAGTTCTCCAGATTTTTTGATATCGCCACCAGTGTATGGCATGGAAACAGAGCTCATTGTGGGAGTCTTCTCTTTTGCCTGCTCAGGACGGCCTGAGACGTAAAGGCCATTACTCAGCTGATGAGATGGGAATCTCGAACCCATATGGCTAATTCAATTCTCACAGAAGAAAAATGATGCAATGCAGTGAACAGATAACCCACGACTTCCACAATATTTGAGCAATCAAAATTCGATCACGGTCTCAGAGCTCAGCCTAAGGGCACTTCCAACGAATGATTATACCTAAAAAGGTGAAACCAAAAAAGCAACTGGATTTAGTTAGCAGTATAGGTTCCTAAAATACATATAAACTTCTAGATATTCCTCAAATCAATCAAAGCTACTGAAAGAGAAGTCGTATAATTATGTATTATTCTAGATTGATCAAATTATACAAAATGGATAAATAGCAAAATTGAAAGAAAACTCTCACATAATTCAAAATGCAACAAATAAAAAGAGATAAAAACAAGTACAGAACAAACAAACAAAAAAGTACTTCAGATTTTTATCTAGAACAAGGCATCACTCTCATATCATCCTGAATGACAATTTAGTGCCTGAATGAACTACAATCCACAAATTATTAGATAGAAATACCACACGTAGAACAGATCTGGATACAAGCCAATCAAACCCAATCATATAAACCCAGATACAACTTTGATATAAAAAAAGAAACAAGTAAAAAGTAATGGACTTTGCAGAGCCATTATCAGCGAAACTCTAGAGATGTATTTTCAGACTTCACATTCTGAAGAACTACCGAGGAGCCAGAACTTTACAGATCGAAGAAGAGCGTGGAAAGCAAATATACCCAATAACACATAAATCACAAGGGAAAAATCAGAGAACCCAATGCAGATATTAATTTCTGAGAAAGAGAAAAAATATATGTTTATGGAGAATCCCAGAAATTACGATCCAGAACTAAAATTTACCAAAAATGGGACGCTGCCATATCTAAAAGGAAAGAATACAGGAAATCAAGACCCATGTCGGAAAATCAAGTAAGTGAAAGAACCCACATTTTCCTTTTTGACAAAGAGCAAGTAAAATGACAGAGATCACAAAATCCAAGCCTAAGAGTCAACGAACAAGGAAAAAAAAAAGCGTCTTTCCGTTAGTGCGTGTGAGAGAGAGAGAGAGAGAGATGGGCATACCTAAACTGAAGAATGAGGTGAGAACGTGAAGAAATTGAGACATGGACGATCAGAGCTTTGGATTTGGTATTGTTTAATGTGTTTACGAAAAATTTTGTGGAAGAAAAGGTGCAGAATATATATATTTGTCAAATATTATGACTGGCTGAGAAACGGAAAGGGGTGAAGTATGAAACTGAAAACCCACCCTTCAGCTTCCTCCTTTCTGCTCTTTTATCAGTTGTTTTCCACTTCTTCAATAGTTCAAGTGGTATCTTTGACCTTTGTAGACCAGGAATATCTATTTTTGCCATAATTTTCAAGAAAATTGAAAGTGATGTATGATCTGGTTGATTCAGTTCGATTTCCAACTAAATTATCTGTAGTAGGTTTGAAATAAAACAAAAATAAATTAGGCATAACTCAGTTGAATCTTTTTGTACTTGCAAAAATTGTTGTCCAAGATTAACTATTGTATAGATTTTATAGTTTTTGCTTTTTTCAAACTCCAAAAGTAATTATTCTTATGAATATTACTAATTTTATACAAATATAAATTAAATTAAAGTTTTATCTACTTGAGAGATTAAAAATAGTTTTAGATTTAAATAAAACTGAGAATTACATGGAAATTCTTCTTTTTTTTTAATCTAGATGAATTAAATTTTAACAAATTTCGATCTGATTCTGATCATGTAGTTTCAAGAAAAAAGAATGCACATAGTCAATTGAGAGTATTATGCTATATTTAGTGTTTCCTTAGTTTTTTTCAACGAACAAGGAGTGTATTTTAGTAATTATATATGTTGCAGTACTATTGATAAAAGCGATTCGACAATTTTAGGACCTTAGATATAGAGCATGTTTAGGGGAATTTTATAAGATAGCAATAATAAGGAATCCCCACTTATAACACCTTATATGTCACTCAAAGTTGAATCCCACATTTTAGAATTATAAGAAAGTTTCATAAACTCTACCAAAACGTACTCATATCATAGGGACATTTTGAGAGTAATAATAACATTTGGTATCATAGATGAAAATTTTTTGTTGCTGATTTGAACATTTTTGTTGATGAAAATTAATTAAATTTCAGAGTTATCAATAAAGTCATCAATATAATATATGTCAATCAATTATTATCAATGATACCTCATAGATTAGTGTGACAAGAAAATTATTACTTGCATTGTATGGTAATTTTTTTCTCTAAATGATTTTCTTTTTCTTTTCGAACCAATGGTGGAATAATTTTATTACCAGACCAAATGTGAGACAATTACGTAAACATGTCAAGTTTGGAGACAAATTTTGAAAGTTATTTTAAGGGAAAATTGTAGCAGCGGTTCCTAACCTTTTCATTTTTTGCAAAATTTACCCTAAACTTTATTTTGTGCCAGTGGAGATTCCTAATCTTTCATATTTATGCACCTGAGATCCATCTAGATAAAAATCGTTCAAAATACCGTCAATTGATCAAAAAAATTAAGAAATCAATATCCAATAAAATCATCCAAAACACCGTCCAAAATGTATCAACATCCAATAAAATCGTCGTGGTAGCAAATAGTTCAAGGAATCTTTCCAGTCAACTAACGTTGTTTTGGACGGTTTCTATCCAGATGAAACTCATATGTATAATTATGAAATGTTAGAAACCTCCACTGACATGAAATGAAGGTCAGGATAAAATTTTGCAAAAAAATGAAAATATTAAGGATCATTGCTGCAATTTTCCCTTATTTTAATCCATTGTTGATTTGATAGTTCACTTAATCCATTGTTTAATAGTTATTTTGCCATCATCGTAGGGTCTCTAAAAGACTAGACGCATAACCTATCCATATTTTGGTCATGAAAGTGTGTACGTCTCATCCCACTAAAAACAACTTTTTTGGCATGTATGAGTTATAAATTTTTTTATGTACATTCGATTGGACGTCCCTCCTCCTTATCGATTTCATCTTTGACTTGATAACAAACTAACCATGCCTTAATAAGATAATTTTAGTTAAATTTTAAGTTCCAATCGTATTATTGTTTATTATGTGTGTCACGATATTGGTGTTCATCTCTGTTAGGTTTTTGATACCCAATAATTTCGGGCGATAATATTAAACAGTGTCGGATAATCGGATTAGATTTTATAGATTTCGACCGATGATTGAAATATTTATTAACACACTCGATTAATTGACTCAACCCGAAAAATAACTTGAGGGTCGTTTGAAACAACTTAATATAGTTAATGTTGCTTACGGCCTATTTATATCTTGTATGCCTCAATTTGTGTTCCGCCCCCTCTAACCATTAGTTGGTCCATGAGCCCACTATATTATTACACCCTAAAACTATATATTACCCTCATTTGTTGAATGAGCTCTGTGTGTGTGCAATTGAAAAGAGACAGCCGACATTTTTCTCTAGTTTTCTCTCTTGAGCCTTAAAACCGAATCTGTCTTCCTCTATTCTTGGTGATTCATTGCAACCACCATATTGTGTTTTTTGTGAACATATTGAGTTGAGCAATCGAAATAAGAATCGTTGTTTTGATTGAAACCATTGTTGGGTGTGTTTAATAAGGTTGAGATTGGTGAAACTGAACCCGAAAGATTCACCATTGAAGGTCCATTATTCAACAATCTCGTCAATGTATTGAATTCCAAAGAACAATTGTCAATTTATTTAATTTTCTTAAAAAGGGAAGAATTTCTCCTCTAAATATTAGTGTTATGATTACTAAACAAGTTTTCTAAAGCCGTATTTTTTTCTTCCATTTGAACTCATTTTAATAATTCTTTTAGTCGCTTTAATAGGTGCAATTGCTATAACTCGTTAATAATAAATTCCACTTTCGATTAATAGAGACTTTAAAAATAGTCCAGTTTATGAAGATTCTTATATGATGAATATCGATGAAAATTACGACAATTCCAAATTTAAAATATTTATCAAAAAAGGGAAAAATAAAGACCTAATAAAAATATTGATACACAAAGTCCAAAAGATATTAAGAAGCTCTAAATATTACCCTTATTTATTTGCTTAAACGTGCGTATTTGTGTTAATAAGATATTTAAATAATATATACCAAGTGATTTAACAATTTTAATTGTAATATTAATAAAGACAAATCAAACTACTTTTCAATATGATATTACGATTTCAAAAAATATGCTATTTATTGTAATATTATATAACATAAACTTCACGAAATATGTTATTTATTAACATTTAAGATAGTATATAAACTGTAAGTTCTACAATTACATTCTATATACATGATGTTTTGCAAAAATTGTTTCGTCAACAAGAAACTTTATAGGGATCGAAAATGTGTAATATCACAATTATTATTCGGTGTCAAACTATTGAGTCAAGGAATTTAAATATCTTAACTACATAGAAAGGGAAAATTATAAACATCATTATAGATAATTTCAGAAATAAACAACATAATAAATTTTCATAGGGATGGATCCAGGATTGGATCCAAAACAGGGCTACTACGCTAGAAAAAAAAAATTACACATAGAAAATTAAATTTTTACCAAAAAAGAATAAAAAATACCTTACAATATGTTATTGGATCCTTCTCTGAATTTTCATAGATCTATATGTTTTGGTTGTAAGATTTAGAGTAATGTTATTTACAGTGAAAATTATCAATGAACGTCGTATATGCCATACATGTGTTTGTAATTTGATGTATAAGTCAACTAAAAAACTATTATATTAATGGATCAAATCAAAAACTGTCACATGTATGCCACTACGGGTAGGCATCATCACGAATAACATTACTCTAAATGGTTTTCTTTTCAAAAACTATAATTCATATCAACTTATAGAACTTTCAAAAAAAAAAAAAATTCTCTAAATGATTTTCTTTTTCTTTTCGAACCAATGGTGGAATAATTTTATTAAGAGAACAAATGTGAGACAATTACGTAAACATGTCGAGTTTTGGAGACAAATTTTGAACGTTACTTTAATCCGTTCTTGATTTGACAGTTTCTTAATCCATTGTTTAATAGTTATTTTGCAATAATGGCGGGGGATCTTAAAGACCAGACGTGTAACGAATCCATAATTTGGTCATCATAGTGAGTACGTTTCATCCCACTGAAAAAACAGACTTTTTTGGCATGTTCGTGTTATCGATTTCTTGTGTACATTCGATTGGCCATCTCTCTTCCTTATCGATTTCGTCGTTGGCTTGATAACATACTAACCATGCCATAATAGGATAATGTTAGTAAGATTTTGAGTTCCAATCACATAATTGTTTCTTATGCGTGTCAAGATATTGGTGTTCATCCCGTCAATATATAGTGACCCAAGGAACTATTGTCAATTTATTTAATTTTCTAAAAAAAGAGGGGAATTTCTCCTCTTAATATTAGTGTTATGATTACTGAACTAGTTTCTAAAGCCGTATAATAAGAATTTCAATACTTGTTTAAAATATTATCTACTAACTCCGAGAGATATTGTTAGGTCCAATATTGTAATTGGCAATTCTTTAAACAAAACGGACTAAATTGGTCACTTTTAAAAGTCAAGGACTTAGTTTCAATTTTGAATATATGAGGTAAATTAGTGTTTGAGTCATTGAAGGAGTCCAAGAAGATCACATATGACTATTGGAATACAATTAGAAGTCTAAAGGATATCAAAGAGCTGCACAAATTATGTTCCAAATTCTCAGTTGTAACTTGTAATGCATTTTTCACATAGAAAACGTTCGAATTTGAGAAGAATTGTAGCCATTTGATTTAACTTTCCAACACAAATGCAGTCACCTCAATCAGATATCGAGAGAGAAAGTTATGATGAAGATACTAACAACTGCTCACTGTCGCTCGATTTTCGCTGGCATTTCGCTAGAGCGAAAATAATAGAATACCTCTCGCTCGATTCTCGCCAGCTCTCGCTTGAGTGACATTCCTATGCACCAAAACCCCTAGTTTACGTTTTTGAAGTGTTTTACTCGACCCATACCACCTAGACACCTTCAAATATAAATACCCAAACCCTAGCACGAATTTTAGGAAGTTGCTACATTGTGTCTCACATTGATATCTTCTTCTAAACATATTCAAGAGATCCAAGAGAGTTTCGAAAATTGAATTCAACATATTGGTCTTGTGATCCGGCAATCATTGTTTTGGAAAAAGTAACAATCTTCATAGCCCAAAACACCGAGCTCCTTT